TGAAAGAAAAATTATCAACCAAGAATAATATACCAATCAAAACTGTTTTTCAAAAATGAAGGAGAGTTAAGTACTTTCAGACGATAGCTGAGGGGAGTTCATCACCACTAGACCTGCCTTGCAAGAATTGCTCGAGGGAGTTCTTCAAGTTGAAACTCAGGAACACTAAACAGCAACATGAAAGTATAAAACTCACTGGTAAAGGTAAACATATATACAAATACAGAATGCGGAAATGTTGCAGTAGTGATGTGTAAATCACTTTTAATTCCAGCATAAATGTTAAAAGAAATATTAAAAATACCTCTAACTAGAAATATGTTATGAATACAGCATAAAAATATGTAAATGGTGACATCAGTAACAAACTGCTGGAGGGGGAGAAGTAAAAATGTAATTTTTGTATGCAGTTGAAATAAAGTTATCAGTTTAAAACAGACTGTCACCACTATACAAAATTTTATGTAAGCTTCATGGTCACCAAAAATTAAATATAGATGATACAAGAATAAAATTAAAGCATTATTAATGTATAAAAATCAATTAAACACAAATGGAGACAAAAAGGACAAAAGAAGGACAAAAGAATTATAAGACAGGCAATTAACAAATGATAATAGTAAGTGGTATTTATCGCTGGAATGCAAGGATGATTTAATATACGAAAATCAATTATATGATACATTACATTAACAGAATGAAGGATAGAAATCACATAATCATCTTAATAGATGCAGAAAAAAGGATTTGACAAAATTAAACACCTTTTATGAGAACTCTCAAAATACAAACAGAAGGCAATGACCTCAATATAACAGAGGCCATAAATGAAAAGCCCATAGCTAGCATCATAGTGGTAAAAACTGAATGCCATTTCTGTAAGATCAGAAAGAAGGCAACCAATGAGTCTAAGCCAGTTGTATTCAGCATAGTACTGATTGTCCTAGCCAAAGGAATTAGGCCGCAAAAAGAAATAAAAAGGACACAAATTGGAAAAAAGAAAATATAATCTGTGTTTACGAACTGCATGATCCTATATGTAATAAACCCTAAGGTTGCCACAGAAACCTTATTTGAAGTAATAAGTGAATTCAGTGAAGTTTCAGATTATAAAATCAATTTACAAAGATCAGTTATGTTTCTATATACTAATATCAACTATCTAAAAAGGAAATTAAGAAAACAATCCCAATATCAAATCAATATCAAAGATAATAAAATACTTAAGAATAAATATAAAGAACTAAAAGACCTGTACACTGGAAATTACAAAGCAATGATGAAAGAAAATTTAAAAGATACAAACATTTGTAAATACTTCCTGAGTAAATGGCTTAGAAGACTTAATATTGTAAAAATGTTTGCATATTCAAATCGGTTTACAAATTTGATGCAATCTCTATCAAAATGGCATTTTATTTTTATATAAATAGAAAAGCGACCCTAAAATTTGTATGGAACTACAAAGGACCACAAATAGTCAAAACAATCTTGAGAAAGAAAAACAAAGTAGGAGCATTTTACCCTTGATTTTGAAATACATTGCAAAGTTGCAATAATTAAAACTATGATACTTTCATAAAGACAGACATATAGACCAACAGAACAGAATAGAGAACCCAGAAGTGAATCCATGCATATATAGTTAACTGATCTTTGACAGGGTGTCTAGAATACACAATGAGGAAAGGATATACTCTTCAACAAAAGCTGTTGAGAAAACTATATATACACTTGCAAAATATGGAGTTAGATTTTTATACCATACAAAAGAGTCAATTAAAAATGGATTAAAAGCAAACATAAGACCTGAAACTAAAAATCCTGGAAGAAGACATAGGGAAAAATTTTCATGACATTAGTCTTGGCAATGATTGCTTGGATGTGACAGCAAACACATAGACACAAACAGCAATAGACAAGTGGTTCTACATCAAACTAAAAAGCTTCCACACAGCAAAAGTAGCAATCAACAGAGTGATACGTCAGCCTACTGAAATGAGAGAAAATATTTGTAAATTGTATATCTGATGAGTGTTTAAATACATATATGTATATATACATATACATAAATTACATACAGAACTCCTATAGTTCAATAGCAAACAAAACAACCTGATTCAGAAGTAGTCAAATAACTTGAATAAACATTTATCCAAAGAAGAAACAGAAATGACCAACAAGTGTATGCAAAAATGCTCAACATCACTAAGCCTCAGGAATGTGCAAATCAAAGCCACAATAAGCTATCACCTCATACCTATTAAGATGACTGGTATCAAAAAGCAAAAGCAGGAGATAACAAGGGTTGGCAAGGGTGTGGATAAATTAGAACAATTGCACACTGCTGGTGGAAATGTAAAATGGTGCAATAGCTATGCAAACAGTATGGAATATTTTCTAAAACTAGAACTACCATGTGACCCAGCAATCCCTCTTCTGGGTATTTATCCAAAATAATTAAAATTAGGATCTTGATGAGATATTAACACTCCAAGATTCATTGCAGCATTGTTCACAAAATAGCCAAGAAGTAGAAACAACCTAAATGTTCGCTGAAGGATGAATGGAGTAAGGAGATGCTATGTACACGCTATTGTATATTATTCAGTCTTAAAAAAGAAAAATCTTGCCATTTGCAATGACATGGATGAGTCTTGAGAACAGAAGGTCAGATACCTCATAATTCCACTTGGATAAGCTATCTAAGACAGTCAAACTCATAGAAGCAGAGATTAGTATGGTGGTAGACAAAATATGGTGGGTTGAGAAAGTTGGGAGTTGCTATTCAAAGGGTGTTAAGTTTCAGTTACACAAGATGAGTACATTCTAGAGAACTGCTTTACAACACTGTATACTTAAAAATACCAGATGTACACTTAAAAGTTTGTTTAAAGGGTAAATCTCATGATAAGTGTGCTTACCTCAATAAAATTTAAAAGAAGAAGAAGAGGAGGGGAGACTACAAGGAGAGGAAAATATTGAGAAATCTGTTGAGGTAATAAAATATCTTTTGTATCCATCAAATAGAAATATAATGCTGTAAAAAATATATATATACATATTTTTTGAGTTGGAGTCTCACTGTGTCGCCCAGACTGGAATGCAGTGACCGCTCCCGGCCACCACAGCCTTGACCTGCTGGGGCTCCGGCGATCCTTCCGCCTCAGCCTTCCAAGTAGCTGGAACTACAGACGCGCGCTTCCACGCCTGGCTAATTTTTTGATTTATTGTAGAGATGAGGTCTCGCCAAGTTGCCCAGGTGGGTCTTGAACCCGCAGGCTCGGACAATCCACTCATCTCAGCCTCCCAAGGCATGGGATTACAGGCTGAGCCACCCAGCCGGGCCTATAAAAATATTTTTTAGAACAATTAAATGCAACAGCAGAATGGAAAACTCAGTAATTGGATTTTCTAATTTTGCAATTTTCTAGAAAAAAATAATCATAAGAAAAAAAGGATTGAAATTTGGAAGTAAAAAAGATAAGACAGAGGAACAGTATATAAAATTAAGTATTAAATAACAGACGTTTCAGAAAAAGGTAATAATGCAAATGGAAGAAAATTATTAAGGAAATAATTCAAGAACATTTTCTAGAGATAAAAATGTTTCCCACATTAAAAGGACCTCAGTATACCTAGTGCAGTAGATGGAAAACACCAGGGCACAGCATTATGAAATTTCAGATACTAGGAAATGGAATAAACATAATTGATTTGTATAATTGGGTAGAGTTTGAAATTAAACAGATTTAAAAATACACAGAAAAAAAGGTTGGTAATGACTCCAGAAACAATAAAAGATGGTCATGGTATAACACCAGAATAAGTAGCATTTTTATAGCATTTGATTATCATAATGTTTACATAGAATGTTTATCTAACAATATGTGATATAATAGTATGGGGACAATGGGAGGGGTGGAAAAGATTGGGATAGGGGATGTAACAGGGAATAACCCTATTCCGTAATGAGAAGTTAAGAGAAAGCTTAAAACTGACATCAAGTAATAACAGTTTAAGTACAATTGTTCCTCAATATCCATAGGGCATTGGCTTCAAGACCTCCCCCTCAGACACTAAAATTTAAGACTGCTCAGGCCAGGTGCGGTGGCTTAGCCTGTAATCCCAGCACTTTGGGAGGCCAAAGAGAGAGGATTGCCTGAGCCTGGGGGTTCAAGGCCAGCCCAGGCAACTTGGTGAGACCTTGTCTCTAAATAAATCAAAAAATAAACTGGGCATGGTGGCATTCGTCTGTAGTTCCAGCTACTTGGAAGGCTGAGATGGAAGGATCAGCTGAGCCCAGCTGGCCAAGGCAGCAGTGACTGTGAGCATGCCACTGCACTCCAGCCTGGGTGGCAAGAGTGAGACTCCAACTCAAAAAAAAAAAAAACAAAAAAAACACTCATAGCACAGTATTTGCATATAACCTATACTTATTCTCTTGTATACCTAGAGTCATCTTTAGATTACTTATACCTAATACAATGTAAATACCATGTATATAGTTGTTATATTGTATTAGGAAATAATGACAAGAAAAAAACCCTGCACATTTCAGTGCAGATGCAATTTTTTTCCTGAATATTTTTGATCTGTAATTGGTTGAATTCATAGATGCAGAACCCATGGATGTGGAAGGTCAACTGTATGCTATTTAGTGATATGATTTTTAATCCCACATAACACATCTAAAATTTGAGAGGCAGCTCACAATGTGTGTTGCCTGTTCCTTAGATCAGTATTTATATGGAACAAAAATCTGCAAAAGAAGGAAGGGAGGGTTCAAGAACCAGAATAGACCATAGCTTATTTACTGTCTTGATGTCATCAAGGCTTATCTTTTTGTTCTGTCTTATCCAAAACCTCCTTTAATTACCATAGTTTTTGGTATGAACTGGGACATAAGTTGGCATGTGGAAGGTAGCCCACCATTTGTAGGCTGTTGTTCAACATCTTGTGCCATTTCCCCTCTGTTTGTTTGTCTGTTTGTTTTTTAGACTGGGAGTGTCCCACATTGAAAGAGCACACACAATGGAAGAATTCCACTCTTCTGGATACTAGTAAAGCAGTAGCAATAGAGAAGGCACCACAGTTTTCAAACCTCTCTGCAATTTTAAGTGAGTTACACATCACAGGGAAACATTTGTCATCTGTGTTAGAAAATCAAAGTATTTTTTCTCTTGAATGATTTGTAAGCTAAGGTTATCAGTTGGGTTGCCTTTGGCCACAGATAATATCTAATAGTAGCTTAAGTACACCTGAGTTTCCTTTTTTTAATTTAAAAAATGTAGATATGGAATCTTGCTATGTTTCCCTGGCTGAACTCCTGGGCTTCAGTGGTCCTCCCTCCTCAGTCTTCTGAGTAGCTTGAGCTACAGTCAAGTCACTGTGCCAAGCAGGTTTTACTTTTTTTTTTTTTTTTTTTGAGTTGGAGTCTCACTCTGTCACCCAGGCTGGAGTGCAGTAGCGGGCTCACAGCCACCCCAGTGTCGACCTGCTGGGCTCAGGCAATCCTTCTGCCTCAGCCTTCCTGGTAGCCAGAACTACAGGTGCGCACTGCCTGGCTGGCTAATTTTTGATTTATTGTAGAGATGAGATCTCGCCAAGTTGCCCAGGCTGGTCTTGTACCCATGGGCTCAGGCAATCCCCTCACCTTGGCCTCCCAAAGCACTGGGATTGCAGACTTGAGCCATCATGCCAGGCCGGGTTTACTTTTTTATAACTTTTTTTTTTGAGACAGGTTCTCACCCTATTGCCCAAGCTGGATTGCAGTGCATGATCCATAGCTCACTGTTACCTCAAACTCCTAGGCTAAATTGATCTTCCCATTTCAGCCTCCCAAGTAGCTAAGACTATAGGCCCACATCACCACATCCAGCTAATTTTTAAATTTTTTGTAGAGACAGGATCTTGCTGTGTTGCCCAGGATGATCTTGAACTCCTGGCCTCAAGTAGTCCTTTCACCTGGGCCTCCCAAAGCACTGGGATAATAGGCATGAGCCACCATGTCCAGCCTTTTGCACCTTTTTATTTTGAACTAATTTTAGACTTTACTTTTAGTCTTTTCTTCTATTTCAAGATTCTGTCTGGATCCCACATTGCATTTAATTATTATTTCTCTTTTATGCAATTTGTGATAATTCCTTGAGTTTTTCAGAATACTGATTAGTTATTTTGTAGAATATTGCTTGGTTCAGGTTTTTCCTGATGTTTTCTCATGACTGAAATGAGATTATGCAATTTTTGGTAAGAATACCACAGAAATTATGTGTCCTCAGTGCATCTTATCATATCAAGAGGTTCATCATGTCATTATGTCTTATACCTGGTTATGTTAAATTTCATCATTTGGTTCAGGTGGTGTCTGTTGGGTTTATCCAATGTAAAGTTGCCATTTTCTTTTTATCATTAATAAATATCTAGAAAAAAATAGATTGTGACTATAAATTCTGCTTCTCTTTAGACTTTAGTTCACTAATTTTAGCAACGTTAGAGGAACTTGTTGACTGGAGCCCTTATTACTGTGCGGTTTGTCTGATGGTGATTTTATGTTCCACTCTTTCCTGCTACATTTATTTATTTATTTGAATTCTACTGTGAAAGAAAAATGATCTCTTTTCTGCCAATTGTTTATTTATTTGATTACTTATATCAATGTAGACATGGATATTCATTCTATGGGTTAAGATCCAATACTTTGGTTACTTATTTACTTATTTTAATTCCAGTGTATGTCTAAGTAGCTTCAGAAGTATTACCTCAGACCCCTATGAGAAATACATTTACAAAATAGATTACAGCATTTATGTACAGTTCTTTTTGTCTGTAACATTACAGTGTCCTGTCAAACAAAATGCTAATTTTCCAAAGTTACATAGGTTAGTTCTTTTGTCCCTACTTCCTTTAATATATAAGAAGTGTTATTCACTTGTAATACTTATGGTTAGATTCATTTGTACCATTGGATTCAATTTTGGGTTTTCCTGTCCTGTTTTGTTTTATTTATGTATTCAGGGAGTATGTGAAGGGATATGAAATATTACTATTTAAGAGTCATAGCTATAACAATTGTATTGTCAGAAAAGTATCGCTTTTTCTTTCCTGCTAATATCTTCCTGTTCTTTCTACCCCTTTCCCACCCATCTCCTGTAGGTAACCAGTTTATTTAGTTTCTGGTTTATCCTTCCTGTACTGATTTTATACAAATGAGGAGATACCTGTGTATTTCCTTATATCTTCCTCCTTGTTACATGAACAATAATGTACTACACAGCTACTTTTTTTCACTTTGGTTTTTCCACCTACAGTAAGTATATACTAGAAATCATTTCATGTGGATCTTCCTCTTATATTTTTACAACTGCATAGTACTCCATGGCGTGGATGTACTTTTGTTTATCTAACCACTCTTCTGTGAATTGGATATTTAGATTTTTCTCCAATATTTTGCCACTATAAACAATACAGTAATGAATAAGCTTATGATACATATTTTTATGTTACTGGCGGTATATCTTCAAGGTAGATTTCCAGAAGTAGGATGGCTGGGTCAAAAGGTAAGTGGATATATGGTTTTGTTGGGTGTTGCCAAGTTTTCCTCCAGGAGGATTACAGCAGTTTGCATTCCCACCAGTAATCTATGAAAGTGCTTGCCTCCTCTTATTCTTACCAACAAAATGTGTTGTCATATTTTATAATTTTTGCTATGCTAATAGGTGAGAATTGTTATCTCTGTTATTTAATTTGCATTTCCCTAATTATATGTGAATTTAACTTTTTTTATACATTTAAGGGCCATTTTTAGTTGAAGAATATTTTTCTTTTGTCTGTGGTATATACACTGTTAATATTTTCTCCCAGTTTTTTTGGTTAATGGTATTTTTGTCCTGCAAAAATTTTTTATTTATATTGGGTTAACTTTTCTTCCATACCAGTCTAGGGCTAGCATGGAGCTCACTAATGTAATTAAGATCATAAGTTAATAGCTGGGCTCGGTAGCTCAGCCTGTAATCTCGTGCTTTGGGAGGCTGAGGTGAGTGGATTGCCTGAGCCTGCAGGTTCGAGACCCACCTGGGCAACTAGGCGAGACCTCATCTCTACAATAAATCAAAAATTAGCTGGACGTGGTAGCACACGCCTGTAGTTCCAGCTACTTGGAAGGCTGAGGTGGAAGGATCGCTGGAGCCCAGCAAGTCGAGGCTGTAGTGGCCGGGAGCGGGGCAACAAAGTAAGATTCCAACTTAAAAAAAAAAAAAATCATAGGTTATTATGTCAACACATAACAACCAAGTGTGTTGGCTGTTACCCCGTAGTTGCAAGTATAGTTGCTAAACCTCTAGGCATCATAGTCATGTTCCTGGCAGAAAGAATGAGAAAGAGCAGTAGTAGACACTCTCATCTCTTTTATTGGAAGAGCAAAAGCTTTCCCAGAAATTCCCAGAAGACATCTCGTTAGCTCTATTGGCCAGAACTAAGTCATATATCTACCTATTACAAGGGAGGCTAAGAAACCAATTATTTTACTTTCTTCTCCTCTATAGTAGTAGAAGGCAAGGGAAAATACAAAAATGGAGAAGGGGAATAGGAATGAATGTTATTAGCTTATCTATTATAGTCTGCCGCTTAGCAAGGGGAATATCAGTGAAATAACTAAACATTGAATGTGGGGTTCTTTATGAGAAAGTCGATAGCTGTGTGGACGGTAATATTTCCACTGTGTTTGAATGCCTTGTCTTCTGTGTTATGTTTAGTTTGGCAACTCCTTTGCTAATGTAAAGTGCTCAGAGAAGCAACCTTTCTCTTTGGTAAATGTTTTGGTGAGAATTTTTGTATATTGCAAATGTAAAAAAAAAACACCTCACAATATTAGGTTAAAAAGGGAATTTATCACCATGTGTACCTGAAAAATTCAGCAATAGATCAGATGAATATGCAACTTGACCCAGGATTTCAAATGATAGCAGCAGGACCCAATTCTTTTCTGTCTCTTAGCTTAGGATTACTCTGAGTCAGTTACACTCTCAGCTAAGTCCTTTCATAGAGCAGCTCTTTCTATCTCTAGGCTTATTAAAACCTTAAATGAGAAAAATACTTCTCTTTCCCAACTTTGGAACAGAAGTTCTAGACCTTACACATTGGTTGTAATTAGTTCATGCAGGACTTTTGTTGTATTGAGTTATAGGCTATGCCTGAACCGTCAGAAGAAAAATCAGGAGAATGATATCAGCAAAAGCAGAGTAGATGATAGATAATATATCTGCTTTAATCCTTTATGTTTTGAGAACCCTGGTTTCAAGGAAATGCGTGGAAGGTGCCATTCACTTCACCTCCCCTTAACTGTTGGGATTTTAGAGTTCTAATCTAAGAAAAGTGCTGCAGCTACTAAAGGTGGTAACTTCTTCAGAAGATTATTTCTATGGTTCTTTATGCTATTAGTAATATCCAAGTATACCTGAGGTAGTCAAATGTTGATTAGGAGATGTTCTCTTGACTAGTCAATCTACTAGTATGCTTTTCTATAGATAGATATAGATATATGGTATTGGACTAAGATTCATGAAACTTGAGCTTAAAGTGCCAGTTATTCAATTATTAGTTTTGTAAGTTGACCAGTTATTTTTTCTCATATAAAATGGGGATGATAATTTTGATATATTTGCCTGACAGTATTGTTATGAAAATCAAGTAAGATAATAGATTTTAAAATACATCAAAAATTTGAAATAACAATTCAAATACAATGCGACAGATTCCTGTATCTAATAAAAATTTTCCAACATTTTTGTTTTACTTTAATATTTTGAAAATACTTTTACCTAATGTAAGTGAAGACATAGAAAACAATATAAAAAATAAAATCATAAAAATAAACTGTACTATCACTATATATCCTAGGGGAAATACTTATATTTACCTAGAGTAATTTTAGCCTCTGGCTTATCTTTGTATTATATTTCTAATTGCTTGTTTTTATTTCCTTTTCTAGGTACCTCTTCAGAAGACTATCAGAAATGCTATAGACAAACGTAAGAACTAAAACTTTTAAAGTTGTTGTGCTTTTGAAAACCCTGTGTTCTAATAGTTATATAGCAAGTATGATTATCAGTCCACAAACTCAGGTGATCATTTATTCAATATGTTGAGTACTCACTATGTGTCAGGACTATTCTAATTGCTAGAGAGATAATAGTGAACAAAATTGAGTAAAAACGAAAACCTCTGCTCTCACTAAGTCTACATTCTAATTGGAGCAGATGGAAAATAAGCAAATAAGCAAGAAAATTTATACTGTGTTCTATGGTAGTGAATACTATGGAGAAAAATAAAGCAAGATTGGGAGCTAGGGAATATTGGGATGGAGATTTGCTATTTTAAGTAATAAGTTCAGGGAAGCCATCATAGAAAGGGTAGCATTTGCGTTGACACCTAAAGAAATCGAGCAAGCTGTGTGACTTACTATGGAAAGACCATTCCAGGTAGAAGGAATATCCAGAGTAAGGATCTGAGGCAAGAAGGCCTGTGCTTTTGGAGTGGAGAGAGGTAGGAGATGAAATGAGACAAGAAGCAGGAGGCCAGATCATATCAAGGTACTGGAGAGCAATGTAAGTGAGGTGGGAAACCTTTGGAGAATTACATGATATGACTTATGTTTCAAAGGTATCACCTTGGTTTCTGTGATGAGAATAGACTATGGGGAGACAAGGAATTAGGGCAATTATAGTTGCCCTAATCTAAACAAGAGATATTAGCATATGGACCCGAATTGCAATAGTAGAGGTGGTATGATATGATCAGATTTTGGATTATTTTGAAAGTAGAACTAATAATATCTGTTGATGGACTGAAGTGAATGGTGGGGTGTGAATGAAAGTAGTGAAGGCTGTCTCCATGGTTTTAACTTAATAGCAGATCTGTAAAATATAATTTTACAAACTCCTAACCACTAGACAACCAGGTACTGTTATATTTTTTATCTTACATAAGTTATTTGGTTTAAGGTGAGTTAGTATATCTCACCTTCATTTTGTAGAAGTTCAGTCAAACATTTATTAATTTGCATTGGCTATTAATAAATACCACTGCAAACTTGGATGTTCACCTCAACATACTGATTGTAATAATTTAAATCTTGCTCTTTCCTTCCTTGGTTTCCTATAAGTCTTGCTTCCTGCTATTCTGTAAAAATTGACATTCTGTTCTAGTCCTTGCACAGTTGCCAAAATTATTTCTTTTTCTCTCTTAACGCAAGAAGGCTGCAAGACACCTTTTCTTCTTTTAAATTCATACCATATAAAATGCAGTATTATAAGGAAAATTCTCAGTACTTGTGGATTACAGTTGATTGTATCATATTACTAAATTGAATTAGGCTTCTAATCTCATTCTTTATATTCTTTGTAGTCTGAAAAAAAATCTCTGTTTATTGTGAATTACCAAAAATTTGCTTCTCTCCATGTGTAGTATTCCTTTATTGTATGAGGAGTTTCCAGCACATATGTACTGATTACTTATTCTTGTAACTTGCAAAAGTTTAAGAACAGATTGACCTCTGTTGTCCCCTAGGAGGTAATAGCTATGGTTTATTCATGTAATTGTTTCTAAAAACATTGTACAGTTAGGATTTATTTCAAGTAACTCTATATCAGATAGATTTTTTATAAACACCAATACCTCTTGCTTTTGAGGCTCCTGCAAAAACAAAAAACAAAACCAGAATGGTGTTTTCATTTATTAAGATTAGGAAGACGAGGAGAAATATGCTACTGAGCAAAGGGTTTGGTTTGGAGCATTTAGACTGAATGGCAGGGTGTATGTAAGAGAGTTAGGATCTAAGTTCAAGGAGGTGGTCACAGTCTGGATCATGAATAGCTTTGGGGACTGGGATTTTTATTTTATCCTGAATGTGACAAGAACCTCTGAAATATTTTCTGTAGGACTGCAGCATATAATGAAAAATGTTAAGCACCTAACCATACAAATCACCTAGTTGGAATGGCTATTATTAATAAGTCAATAACAGTAGACCTTGGTGCGGTTGGGGGGAAAAGGGAGTGCTTATGCTTTCTTGATGGGAATGTAACCTAGTTCAGCCCTTTGGAAAGCAGTTTGGAGATTTCTCAAAGAGCTAAAAATGAATTTACCATTCTACCCAGCAGTCCCACTACTGACTGTATACCCAAAGAAGTATAAACTGTTCTATCAAAAAGATACCTGCACTAATATATTTATCACAGCACTGTCCACAGTGGCAAAAACATGGAACCTAGTTGCTCACCAATGATGGATTGGATAAATGAAATGTGGTACACCATGGAATACTATGCAGCCATAAAAAGAACAAAATCATGTCCTTTGCAACATCATGGATGCAACTGGATGCTATTATTCTAAGCAAATTCACACAGAAACAGATAACCAAATACTACCTGTTCTCACTTATAAGTAGGAGCTAAACACTGGGTACACACAGGCATAAGGAAGGGAGCAACAGACACTAGTGGCTCTTAATGGGGGCTGGGAGGGCAAGAACTGAAAAACTACCTATTGGATATCATGCTCACCATTTGGATGACAGTTCAACCGAAGCCCAAACCTCACCATCATGCAGTATACCTATGTAATAAACCTGTACATGTACCTCTTGAATTTAAAATAAATAAATAAAAGCCATGTTAGAAGATATCAAGGGAGTGAAAAGACAGCCCACAGCATGGGAGAAAATATTTGCAAATCACATATTTGTAGGTTCTTTATGTGGAATATATAAAGAATTCTTACAACTCAACAATAAAAGGACAAATAACTCAATGTAAAAGTTGGCAAAGAATCTGAATAAACAGTTCTTCATAAAAGATATACAAATGACCAATAAGCTTACTATTAATCATTAGAGAAATGTAAATGAAAACTACAATGAACTATCACTTCATACCCACTAGGATGGCTATAGTCAAAGACAAATAATAACAAATGTTAGCTTGAATGTGGAAAAATTGGAACCCTCAAACGTTGCTGATGGGTTTTTTAAATGGTGAAGCTGCTTTGGAAAACAGTTTGGTAGTTCCTCAAAATGTTGAACTTCATGTTTAACATTTTGAAGAACTGCTAAATTGCTTTGAGGAACTGCCAAACCATATGACTCAGCAGTCTACTCCCAGGTGTACATACCTAAGAGAAAAGAATACATACATCCACACAAAAATTGCTTCATGAGTGTTCATGGCAACTTTATTTATAATAGCCAAAAAAATTGGAAACAACCCAAATGTCCATCTGCTGATGAGTGGATAAATAAAAGGTGATATATCCATACAATAGAATATTATTCAGCAATAAAATGGAATAAAATACTGAAATAGGCTTCGACATGAATGAACTCTGCAAACATTATGCTACAGGAAATAATCAAGTCATAAAAGACCATAAATTTTATGATTTCATTTATGTGAATTATTCATAATATACAAATCTAGAGAGACAAAAAACAGATTAGTGATTGCTTAAACCTGGGTGATTTGGGAAGAAATGGGCATTAACTGCTAATGGGTACAGGTTTTCGTTTGGCAGTGATGAAAATTGGTTGTGATTTTGGCAATTGCACAACTCTCTGAATATACTAAAAATCATTGCATTGTATATCTTAAATGGGTGAATTGTATGGTATATGAATGATAACTCAATAAAGCTATAAAAAAAGTTTGGACCAATGAAACCAAGGAAATATAGGAGGTACCGATAGGAAGAAAGGGAATTAGAACAAAAATAATCCATAAGAGTGAAGACTCAGATGCTTTAACTGAACTAGATTTTAGCTCTGAACTTGATAAGATTATAAGGAAAAAGTCTATAGCTATTTGATATATTTCATGCCCTTCAGATAATTGTGTACAGCTCTTACTGTTTTATAACTAGAATTTTTACCAGAATTAAATGGAAAACAGTACAATATTGTCTTCTTTGGTGAGACTCTTAGTATAGGTATTCTGTGCTGATGGGAGTGTGGGGGATTGCTATTCCTTTTATATACATGAGGTAACCATGACTCAAGACAGGTTAAGTAGCTTTCCTAAGGCCACTTAAGTGTAAGTAGCAGAACTGGGGTTAAACCCAGGTCTATCTTATTCTAAACCTAATACCTTGTCTTCTACACATATTGTTCACACTAAGTATGGAAACACTTTTAAAAAAATTAAACTGTTTACATAGATATGGAAACATTTTTCTAAGCAAGTGTATTTTTTCTACAGGATAATTAATCATAAATTTGTTAAGTATTATTAGAGGATTTTTGAAAGTTATGGAAATATTAAGAAAATACCTCTAATTTGTTCTTATTATAGAGTGATGACAGTAGCAGGCCAAAATATTTCTCCAAAACCAAAGTGTACTTCAAATTCAGAATCAGGTAATAAACAGTGAAACTAGTTGTTTTCATTCTTTATTTTTGCTACAATGCATCATGTATTAACAAAATGATGGCCCAGAAAACTGAGTACTTTTTAGATTGATTGTATTTAAGAAATGAAGGTATGTAGGGTTAGGAAGTGGGTCTTAACTATCCCCACAGCTCCCATCATTTATTAACTTAATAAACATTTAGTGAGTATGTTCTCTGTACTGGGCATTGTTATGTATACCAGTGGGAAGTGGTACACTTTTCCTGTAGGTTTCAGTTGTAGGTGAGAAAGATAAGTAAACAGATATATTGTGGTTATGTGTGACAATTGAAAAATAAAGGGATCAGCAAACTGTCTTGCATTATTGACCCTCTATTATTTAATTTACTATTAGAATAAATTTAGCAAGACATTTATATCTGTATTAACGTGTGCTGTATCTCAGATTTCTGTTTTCCTTATTTCCTGCAGCAAGTTTTATAGCATCCATTTGGGAGTAAGCTTTAAGAATTGTTGATTTTGCTCTTGATGGTTGTAAATATATGAATTTAAAATATATATTTATTTGCATAATCTTCATATTAAGAAATTATCTTAATGAGAATTTACTGAATGCCAAGCATTCCATTAGGAACTACGAATATAAAAATGTTAATATATTTTCTGTACTAAGTGAAATTGGTGATAAAACTTAAACTTGTAAAAGCACAAGATCCTTGGAAGGAGCAGTACCTTCTATAATGGAGGATGAGCATTAGAATGAGGATTTGTTTTATAGATCAAAGACTAAGGGAGTCTGGGCATGGTGGCTCATATCTGTAATCCCAACACTTTGGGATGGCAAAGCAGAAGGATTTCTTGAGCCCAGGAGTTTGAGACCAGCCTGAGCAACATACATAGCAAGACCTCATCTCTACAAAATATTAAAAAATATGCCAGGTGTAGTGGTGTGTGCCTGTAGTCCCAGCTACTTGGGAGGTTGGGGCAGAAGGATCACCAGAGTCCAGAAAGCTGAGGCTGTAGGAGCCACTATCATTCCACTCCATTCCAGCTTGGGTGACAGAGTGAGACTCTACTTAAAAAAAAAAAATCAAAAAAACAAAAAGAGTAGGAGAATGTGTGAAAAATAGAGAGGCAATGAAAGGGAAAGTGGTAAGGGTGTCAAAAGCCACCATGATTTTACTTAGGTCTTACCCAATCAAAAGTTTTGCTTTGGCTGTGGAAAATACTATTTATAAAACTTGGTGGTAGGACAAAATAGTGATCCTGAAATTATATATGCTTTTGTATTTGTATGTATTAACTTAAAATTTTAAATAAATCACATCTTGTTGTAGAGAGATTTTTTACACAATTCTTAATTCAAAAATTGAACTGTAGGACAGGTGTAGTGGCTTACACCTATAATCCCAGGACTTTGAGAGGATGAGGCAGGAGGATCACTTCAAGACCAGCCTGGACAACATAGCAAGACCCCATCTCTTAAAAAAAAAATCCAACTGTGTGTGTATTTTTTGTTTGTTTTGAGTCAGGGTCTTACTCTGTCATCGAGGCTGGAGTGCAGTGGCATAATCACGACTCACTGCAGCCTTGACCTCCGGGACTCAAGTGATCCTTCTGCCTCAGCCTTCTGAGTAGCTGGGACTACAGTCCATCATGCCCAGCTTATTATTATTATTATTAATTTTTGTAGAGACAAGGTTTCACTATGTTTTGAACTCCTGGGTTCAAGTAACACTTCTGCCTCAGTCTCCCAAAGTGCTGGGATTTTGAGTGTGAGCCACAATGTCTGGCCTTAACTGTGTTTTAGTTGTGTGCCAGGCTCTTTCCCTAAGTGTTAGGAAGTTGAGAAATGGTTACATTCCTGCCCTCGTGGATTCTATAGTAATAGAGACAAACAAATAAATAAGAAAATTACTTCTCAGGCAACTCCTGCTCAGGCTCCTTTGCAGTCTTATCTACTGCTATTAGCCGTGAAATATGGGAGATCTTCAAGGCTAGTTACTAGAGTTTAACCTCTTTTTAATCTGCTACCTGATATGTATAGGTGTCCTGTGATAGTCAGGGTTTCCACATTTTCTCTCAGCCTAGACTCTTCTCTGAGATTAAGACCATATGCAACTGCCTTCTGGATATCTTCTCTTGGCTACTTTAGAGGCACCTTAACTCATTGTTCACTAATTCAGTTCATTCAGCAAATATTTATTAAGCACCTACAGTGTGACATTTAATTGCTGGGAAATATGACAAAGCCTTTTCCCTAGTAAAACATACATTACATGGAGGAAGAAAGATAATAAAAAGATAAATACATAAATTATAACATAATATCAGGTAGAAATAACAGTAATGAAGGATTAAAAAGCAGGGTAAAGAGAGACAGTGTGAGTAGACATGCTATTTTAGATAGGGTAATCAAGATAGGCCTCTCTGAGGAGGTGACACTTATGCAGGCCCTAAAAAAAGTGAGAGAGTCAGCCATATAAGAGGTCATGTAGCTACAGAAGAGGAAGAAGCTGAGTGGTTGAGATTGTGGTTAGAAAGCTAATCGGGTGGTACAAAGTAGAGTCTTATATGCTGTGGTAAAGACCAGGGATTTTATTCTAAATGTACTGAGACATACATCCTAGATCATTTTAGAACATAGGAATGACAGGATCAAATATATATTCAATTTTTTATTTTAGTCAATATTTTAATTTTTAATTCAAATATATATTCAATATTTTAATTTTTATCTCATTTTAATTAACTTAAATTTAAATAACCCATAGGCTGGTGGCTAAAACATTGAATATTACTGTTTTAGTGTACTCATAAAGTTTTAGTGAGATGGAAAATAATCAAAATATCTGGGAAACCAATGTGTTACCTATTCTGTCTGCTTAAACCTTCATGCTCCAGGGAGGAAAAGCCTACGCTGGAGAAACTCAAGGCTTCCAAGATCCCTTAAGTACTGTGTTTTTATATCCAGTATTTCTGTGGTTCTAAGAGGTGTTATTTTACTATTACTCAGATAATATTTTAGAAGCATCAATTTGTCTGTCACGTGGAGAATAGACTAAGGGGGCAAGAGTAGAAGAAAGAAGACCTTGTTAAACTATTGCAGTTGTCAGAAAATGGTGTCTTAGACCAAGGTGATAGCAGTGGTTTGATTTTGAAAATTTTAAAGACAGGTGTACCAGGATTTCCTTATTAGGCTGGATATTATACAAGAGAGAAAAATACAATGCAAGGATGAATTGCTTGAGCAATTAGATGAATGGTGATATCATTTATTGAGATGGGAGCACTATAGGGCAAAGCAAGCTGGGAGAATGATTAAGATAATTTTTTTGACATATTAAATTTGATCTGTCAGCCCACACACATAATGTTGTGTGAAAGGACACAAACATATCTATATTGTATAATTCCATATATATGAGGTTCAAGAACAGGCAAGACTATTTTGGGTGATAGATATCAGAATAGTGATGGTCTTTAGAAAGGACATGCCAAACTAGGAAAGAACACATAACAAACTGCTTGGGTGCTATAAATGTTTTATATCTTGATCTGGGTGGTGGTTATATGAATGAATACATATACACCAAGATTTGTGACCACTGCTATATATATGGCATAATTCAATAAAATATTTTTAAAATAAGAGGTTTAATAGATTTTGAGTAGAGATGCCATGAAGGCAGCTTTTGATGCAGGAGTCCAGAGTTCACAACAGAGGCTGGAGCTGTAGATAGAAATTTAGAGTCAGCAAAGAAGTGTTTTGAAGCCATAGGACTAGATAAAATCATGTAGGAAGTAAAAATAAATAGAAAAGAGGCATGCAAAAAAGAGAATAGAAATGGGACACTCCAACATTTAAAGTAGGGAAAAGGGGAAGTATCCAACCACTGAGACTTAGTGGCTGATGCAGTTGTAGGAAAACTAGGAGAGAATGGTGGGTGCCTCAGAAGCCATGAGAGGAGAGTGCTTTAAGGAAGAAGTGATCCTAGCTATGATAAAAGTTATCAAGATTAAGTAAAATGAGGATTGAGGACTGAGAATTGTTACAACCAAGACCCAACCTGACACTACTACTGTGTCCTCTGTCTTAGTAAATGTAGTTTGGCACAAGAAATCTGGGAATAATCCTCAACACTTCCCTTTTTTGTCACTTCTCAATCGTATATCTAATCTATCTACAAATCTTGGTAAAGAATTTTAGAGCTCTTAAACCTACCTACTTTATTCTGCCTTAGAAGATGCGGGTGGCAGGAGTGATTAGTCTCTACGGTTGCCAGATTTAGCAAATAAAGATACAAAATGCTCAGTTAAATTTGAATTGAGATAAACAGCAAATAATTTTTAAAATATTAGTACTTCCTGAATATTGCAAATGCTCATATAGGTGATATACTTGTACAAGCTTGTATAAGTGATATACTTACACTAAAAAATTATTCAGTATTTATTTGAAATTCTCATTTAACTAGGCATCCTGTATTTTATCTGGCAACCTGATTAACCTCTGCAAGGAGAATAGGAAATACAATACATACATCATAAAAATAAGAAATTTGTATGCTAAATTAAGGAGCTTGGTTTTAACTTGAGGGCAGTAGAAAACCTGCCCTTGAAGAATTTTAGGCAACTGGTATTAGGTTTGCATTTTAGGTTATACAAGGATGATGGACTGCAGAGGGAGGTGAATTAAAAAGTGATTAGAATCTAAAGGATAATCTTTTGGTGCCTTAAATCAAGGCAATGGTGTTACAATGTTAAGTACACATGATATGCTCAATATACAATGTTAAGTACACATGATATGCAAAATTGGCACATAGCAGACACTCAATAAATATTTGTTGCTTTAGACTGTGTCTGGAGAGTATGGAACAGGGAAGACTCAAGACTAAAGAGGAGCCGTAAAAAGGGACCACAGAAGGAAAATGTTCCAACCAGTTGTAGTGAGGTCCAGTAAGATAGAAAAGGAAAAGTTTCTGCTGATATTGGTGAGGAATGAAAGTGAATCACTTTGGATTTGGGAGTAAACAGGAAGAGAGGAAGTAAAATTAGTATATGAGGACAGCTCTTTGAAGAAACTTGCCTATGGACAAGAGGAGATAGTGGCTTTGGCAGAAGGGGGATATAAGGTACAGGAAAAGTTTTTGATAAGATGAGAGAAGCCTGAACATGCTTTAACTGCTGATAGAAAGTTGCAGTAGAAAGGGAGAGCTTGAAAATATAGGAAAGTAGAAATGACAGGATAATGAATGAAGAATTTTAATCACATACAACTTTCTCATTTAACTGAAGGGAAAATCTCCTATATACAGTTTATTCCCTTCTTTGAAACCTGGAGCTCTTGAGATAAAGATATGTTTTAGAATATCTTTTCCTATCTGTAACAAATAAGATTCTTCAATATATGTTGTTTTTCTCTATTAAACGATAACAAAGGCACAGTTATTAAAATTAGTGTTTTCAAAAATTTTTGTTTTGTCAAATTGAATTCTGTTGTCCTTTTGACTTAAAGTTAATAACAGGTTAAATAATTTGAATATTAAACTACATTTTTATTTGTAGATAATGCAGCTTGTGAAGCTTTAGTTGCTGAGAAATCTTGCCCTTCAACTCCTGAAAAAACAACAAAAAAAGCAAGTATTGAAGCTGCATAACTACATAAATCATAAATTTCATTAATAAATGAAATTTTAACCCACACTTAAAAAAAAACTTTTATTTTTATTTTTTTAAGAAATGGAGTCTTGCTCTATCACCCAGCCTGGAGTGCAGTGGCATGATCATAGCTCACTGCAGCCTCTACTTCCTGGACTCAAGTGATCTACCCACCTGAGCCTCCTGAGTAGCTAGGACTACAGGCTCATGCCACCATGCCCAGTTAAGTTTCTTTTATTTTTTGTAGAGAAAGGGTCTGACTATGTTGGCCAGGCTGGTTTCGAACTCCTATCTTCAGGTAGTTTTCTCACCTTGGACTCCCAAAGTGTTGGAATTACAAGAGTGAGTTACTGTACTCAGCCTTAACCAGCACTTCGTAGAAATTATTTTTCAGCAATTTAAGTCAATAATTAAAAGCATTTTTGGAGTTTAGCAATTAGATTATTCAATTTTATGAAAAACCTATGCAGCATATATTTGAATATACACTTTACATAAGTTTAATGAAAGAGAATTAAGATGTACAGTAGTCCCCCCTTGTCCGCAAGAGATATGTTTCAAGAACCTCTAGTGGATGTGGCTAGTACTACACTCCCTATATATTATGTTTTTTAAAAAAAATCTGATAACAGAGATACCTTTAAGTGACTAATGAGCAGATAACATATCCGGCATATACATGCTGGATAAAGGAATGATTCGGTTCTGGGCCGAATGGCACAAGATTTCATCATGCTACTAAGAATGGTTTGCAATTTGAAACTTATGCATTGTTTATCTCCGGAACTTTCCATTTAATATTTTAGACTGTAGTTGACCACAAATAACTGAAACTGTGGAAAGCGAAACTGTGGATATGGTGGGAGAAGGGGTGTGGGAGGAGACTACTGTATTTTACTTGTTTCCCAACTTCCCTTTGAATAATTGGATATCTATTAGTTATTAATTTCAGTTAAAAATAAGAAATTTATCATGTAGCCAGAACAGCGATTTATGCCAGAGATTACTTGTGAATCAGTATGTTAGGATTGAAATCTGGAGGTCTTTGGAGAAGAATTTGGATATTATTTTATATGTAGCGAGAGCTACTTTTTGAGTGTGTTTTCATTAATTATGTCTCTATATCATTCCAGTCAGGTAAATAGTTAGTTTTTGTTGTTTGCTTGTGTGTTTATTTTGACCTATTTTGTAGCTGAGAAACTGAGATTTAGGAGCTCCTCAATTTTTTGAGGTGCTTTCTGGATCTGTACTCTTTCTACTACAGCATACTGTCATTGTAATAAATTAAGGAGCAGATTGAAAGAGGGCAAGAGAGTCAGCAGGGAGACTTATTGGTAGGAAGTTACAAAGATTTTTGCTGAAAGATTTTGGTGGCTTTGACTAGGGTGTTTTGTAGGAGAAATCAGGAAATATGCATGTATTCAAGATAATTTTGCCTGCAGAGTTGATAGATTGGATATAGACCATGAAGGAATGAGAAATATTAAGAGATACTTCTAGGTTTCTGTCTTGAGCAGCTTTGGTGGATAAAGATGCTATTTAATATGATAGGAAAGACAGGAGGTCTGAGGATACCTGAAGATGAAAATGTTGTGAGTGCCATTGACTGTAAATCTGGAGGTCAGAGGAACAGATGTTCAGTATTATAGATATTTTTTAAAGTCATGAAAATAGTTGAAATAACCTGGGACAGAGTATCTATAAAGTGAAGAAGAGAAGTGAACTCAGGATCAATTGTTAGAAAATTCCATAGTCAGGTAGAAAAGGAAGAGTGAGCAGAAAGAAGGAAGCAAATAAACAGAATGTGGTATCATAGAAATCGAGAGAGGAAAGCATTTCATCTCCAGAAGGAGATGGTCAACAGTGTTCAATGCTGCTTGGAGATCCAGTGTTATAAAGAAATTTTGTGAGTGTGTGTGTCTGGCTTATTTTTATTATTTATTTATTTTTAAATGTTTTATTTGTAATTGTTATGAGTACATAATAGCTGTATATATTTATATATACACATGATGTTTGATAAAGGCATCCAATGTATAATAATCAAATCAGGGTAATTGGGGTATTCATCACCTTAAGCATTTATCATTTCTTTGTGTTAAGAAGGAATTTTTAAAAGTCAATTGAGGATTTTCAGTTTCCAGTCCAGCATGTGAGAATCTTAGAAGTTACCTCTCTGTCCTAACAACAAGAAAAAGCTAAACAAGCTGAAAAATCAATTCTTCTTAGGTCCATTACAGAAGTGAAGTCACAGAGCAAACTGCTGCCCTGGTACTGGAGAGAGAGACAGGAAGATACAAAGAATCACAACTTACCAGAACAGAAACCCATGAACAGAAACCTCCATGGGAACCATTGACAGGATAGGAAAATGTAGTTAGAAACTCTATGGAGTGCCTTACCACTTTTGTGAGTTTTATGTCCAAAAACTCTACTACCAGGTCTTCACAGTGAATATCCCCTCATGTTTTCAGCAGGGGAAGGAGAAAAGAAACTATTTGAAATGAACCAGAGCATTATTTTTTCTTAACTAGGCCTCCCCTCAAAGGAACTTAATTTCCCAGACCCTAACCTGCCGGAGGGTGTGTATGGGGGACAAAATGATTGTAAAGTTTATATGGAGAGAAAAAAGACCCAGAATAGCCAACTCAATATTGAAAGAGAAGAACAAAGTCAAGGGAATGACACTACCTGTATTCAAGACTTATTGTAAAGCTTAAGGTAATCAAAATAATGTAGATTTGGTGGAAGAACAAATAGGTCAGTCAATAGAACAGAATAGAGAGCCCAGAAATAGACTCACATTAATATGGGCAATTTATCTTTGACAAAGGAGCAAAGACAATATAATGGAGAAATGTTGATTCTTTCTACAAATAATGTTGGAATAACTGAACCTCCAGATATAGAAAATGGACCTAGATACATTATCTTATACCTTTCACAAGAATTAACTCAAAATAGCTTATAGATCTAAACATAAAATGCAAAACTATAAAACTCCTAGAAGATAGCATAGGAGAAAATCTAGGTGACCTTGGGTATGGTGATGACTTTTTAGATGCAATACCAAAGGTAATCCATAAAAGAAATAATTGATAACCTAAACTTCATTAAAATCAAAAACTTTTGCTCACTGGGAACTCTCAGACATTGTTCGACTGTAATTTTGGATGGCCACTTGTTTGTTAGTATCAATCAAAGTTGACCTTATACATTAAAAACAACAACAACAACTTTTGCTCTATGAAAGACAACGTCAAGAGAATGAGAGGATAACCCACACATTGGGAAGAAATAATTTGCAAAAGACATATCTGACGAATAATTGTCAGCCAAATTACAAAGAACTCTTAAAACTCAACAATAAGACAATGAAAAACACAATGAAAAAATGGACCAAAAACCTGAACAGATACCTCACAAAAAATATATATACGGATAGCAATAGTACGTGAAAAGTTGTTCAACATATGTCATTAGGGAATTGCAAATTAAAACAAGTTATTACCACACTTCTGTTAGGATGGCCAACATTCAAAACACTGGTGACATCAAATGCTGGTGAAGATGTAGAGCAACAGGGACTCTCATTCATTACTGGTGAGAACGCAAGATAGTAGGATCACTTTAGAAGACAGTTTGGCGATTTTTTTTACAAAACAAAACATACTCTTATATGTGATCTAGTAATCACAGTCCTTAGTGTTTACTCAAATGAATTGAAAAATTATGTCCATATAAAAATCACACATGGATGTTTGTAGCAGCTTTATTCATAATTGCCAAAATGTCTTTCAGTGGTGAATGGATGAACAACTGTGGTATGTTCAGACAATGGAATATTATTCAGCACTAAAAAGAAGAGGCATTGGGCCATGAAAAGACATGGAGGAAACTTAAATTCATATTAATAAGTGAAAGAAGACAATCCGAAAAGGTTACATACTGTATTACTGTATGATGACAACTATATGACATTCTGGAAAAAGCAAAACTATGGAGACAATAAAAAGCTAAGTGGTTACTAGAGGTTAGGAGGCAGTAAACGTGTGTGTGTGTGTGTGTGTGTGTGTGTGTGTGTATGTTTTGAGTTGGAATTCTCACTCACCCAGGCTGGAGTGCAGTGGCATGATCATGGCTCACCTCAGTTTCAACTTCCTGGTTTCAGGCAATCCTTCCCACCTCAGGCCTTTGAGTAGTTGGGACTACAGGCATGCACCACCATGCCTGGCTAATTATTTTTATTTTTTATTTTTGGTAAAGACAAGGTCTCACTATGTTGCCTAGGCTGTTCTCAAACTCCTGGACCCCAAATGATCCTCTTGCCTTGGCCTCCCAAAGTGCTGGGATTACAGGTATGAGCCACCACACCCAGGCAGAAACTACTTTGTCTGATATAATTGTAGATACATGCCATTATACATTTGTCAAAACCCGTAGAATATATAACACCAGACTGAGCCATAAGGTAAACTAGACTTTCGGTGTTGAATGTAGCAATGTAGGTTCATTGATTGTAATACATATACTACTTTTGTGTAGGATGATGATAGTAGGGGAGCTTGTAAGTGTGGGGGGATAGGGATGTATGAGAACTCTGTATTTTCTTCTCGGTTTTTCTGTGAAACTTGCTCTGATCTAAGTTCATTCACTTAAAAAATTGCCAACTGAATTTGAAATCATGAAGGAAACTGGTAACTTCAGCAGGAAAAATTTTAGTGGACTAAAGAGAAAGAAGCAAGATTGGAATAGGTTGAAGAGTTATGGAAGGTGAGAGAGGAATGATTATAGAGCTTGATTCTGAAGGGACATAGAAAAAAAGAACAGTAACTAGATGAAGAGGCAGGGTTGTAGTAAGCTTTTTTATTTAAGATGAAATATTCTATATCATTTGGGGGGGCTAATAGGAATGATGGAAAAGAGGAAGAGGGCATAGCTGAATTTAACTCGGTAGGCAACTGGGCTGAGGAGGAAG